AAAAAAAAAAAAGTTGAGGATGATGAGTGTGGAGTTGTAATTTTCTTTATAATCTTCTCTGTCCTTGTATTTACTTTTGTGTATAAGTTTTGATTTGGGCTCGGGCAATTCCCCCTTATTTTCCTTTGGCATCTTTGTGTCTCGATCCTTCTTTTCTTTTGCATATTGGATGAACAAGTTTTGATGGAATGATGTGCTTGTCGTTTTTGCCTAACCATCATCGTTGCTTGCCGCTTTGATCTACTGTCGTCACGATATGAGATTTGATGTGTCTGATGTGTGTGATGCCACCTTGCATGATCGGAAATGAATGTTTACGGGATCATTGAAGGATTAGATGATTGGGTAGTTATCCATATTGCCTAGCGATTTTGCATGAAGGACTAAACTCCCACTTTTGCGTAAGCGTCAGCCAACAGGTCCGGGTGCAAGCGAACACCTCGTGGGGATACGTGTAAGCGCGATTTGATTTACGCGACCTACACGTGTCCACGCGCGGCGATCCGCAATCAATGGCGAACCTGGCATCTCTTGTATCGGGATAGGGGAGGAATTTTCCTCCTTTCAAGCACCTGAGCTGGCAGGAATTTCCGGCACCATACCTCGAAATCCCCCTGTCAGTCAGATGCGTGTGAAAGGCTTCCACTACGCCGCAATGACAAGATGTCGTACACACGGGACTCAGTGTACTTCGAGCACTGGGAGGAGGAATATCTTAGGCTGAGATATCCTGAATTCCCCTGCCTAACCGAGAACCGACTATGCGCCAGGGAATTTCACCGTGCCGTAACCAGCGACCCGCGGTGTCCCGAATACCCAACTACGTATAACACGCAATACTATATATCCCTCGGTTTCGTCGTTATCGCCACCAATTTCCCTCCCTTCCACATCCTCCTCCCATACCACCAGCTCACGGTGGTTCCGGGGAACTCCATAGCCCCGTATTGGCCCCACACGCCGTGCGAAAACTGCACACGACGCGACAACCGCCGAGCCTCTGGAATTACGGAGTCTAACCATAACACGTGACGACAATCGCCACGTGTCCCCACCCGGAGACCCGACTCATAGAAATCGCACTCCTTACGGACGGGCCTCTCCCGAACCGCCGTCACTAAAACACGCGGATCGGGCGACCCAAGATGCACCGCGCATGCCATTGGCCCTATGCTGCACGACCTCGACCACGCTCCGACCGAAAGTAACCCGTCCCTTAGCCTTATTGCACCTATGCCCCTGAAACCTTGCCACAAGAGATCTCAGTTCTGACCTGGGACTCCACCCCCACTTTCCCAAAAATCCTTGGCACACCTGTTTTCGCACTTCCAGGCCCACATGCCACTCTGATCAGGAAGTCGCGCCGGGCGTGAGGTTCGGCGTCACGTATTGGCTCAGTGGAGTAAAGTCCCCTGGCTTGACCAGATCCAACCAACCCTAGTTATATGCATCTATTTTAAAGGGCGAGGCTGGGCGCCCCCCCGAGCAAGTTTCCTTACCCCTGGGGCCCTCAGTAATCCAGACCTTCACTTCTTGTAGTTCATCATCCAGAGTCACCAATTCTTCACCTATGAAGCTGAGGCGGACTTCTGTCCTGGCATTTTGGCTGCGCTTCCAAACTTGCACCTTCGAACCCCCCTGTGAAGGGGGGCCAATCACATGCCGGAAGGTGGACGAACAGGAGGGAGAAAAAAAAACAAGTATCTTTGGCCGGGTGTCTATTTGGTTGAAGACACAGGATCCAGGAAGCAGGTATTGCCTGTTTGAGAGCCTCAAAATTTCCTCTGATATTGCGGGCCCTGGGCAATTTTGTCCGAAGTGAGTATACAGTGAGCCAACAGTTCCTAGTCTCATTCCATAGGTCTCTGAGGTGAAGTATACCCTTAATACACCAAGTTTTGTCAAAGTTACTTGATGATGGAGCAACCGAGAATACTTTGCCATCCTATAGAAGAATCTGAGAGTTCTTAAAAAGAAGTTGATTGAGGATTTTTGACCGTGTAACCGACTCCCTTACAATGGGAGGACATAACTTGTTCCAAGCATACAGAATTTGGCACCACAGTACCGACTTCGATCGACACTGAGAGAAAGACGGGAGACATAGACGAAGCCAAATGTCATCATGATTGGCCAGTGTCCAGTCTGACCCAAGGAGATACTCGGCGAATCGGGTCCAAACCTTTTGCGAGGTATCCAACATTGCCAAGATGGGTCACTTCGCTAACAAGGCCATATTTTGTTGCTTTGGGTTCAGAATCCCGAAACCCCCCATCAATTTGGCGGTGGCTACGGTATCCCAAGCCACCTTAGACATAAAACCCTGGTCTTCCGAGGCTTCTGGTTTCCACAAGCACTTCGCTACACAACGGCGAACAAGGGTATATGCCTTGCCTCCCAGTAGATGTACAACGAGGACGAACCGCAGAGTAGAACAGGCAGCAACCAAGACTGCTAGAACCTGACCCAGCAAGGAGAGGAATTTGCCTCTCTCCCACTTACCGATCTTTTCCAATACTTTTATAGACACTTGGACTCCTAGAAGCCTTTCAGCTGCAATGGTGTCGAGTGCATCGGTTTGGCACCGCACCAGGGCAGCGCGGGACTCTCCAGGCCGCGTCACGCAGAAGTTGGTTTAAATCCTTTGTCGCAAATTATACATGTGGAGCTTCCGCAAGCCGCTCCAGCCCGGTGCGCCAGCC